CAAGGTTAAGCTTCAGCTAAATGGAGACCAGTCTGACAATGACCCTAAGACCTTCCTGAAGTCTGCAATAATGATGGTATGGCAATGAAGCCAATTGGATCAGCTTCCTAGTATAATTTTTGAAAGAGCCCCAACACCAGGGAGAGGTGAAAATACATTGCTGGGACAATGGCAAGTCAGCCAGTCATAAAATTGTGGCTTAAGTGCTAAGCAGATTAACCTGAGAGCTATTCTTTAGAGAGTTCAAGGGGCCAATTTTTGCTCTCAATTCTGCTGAAGTCAAGGAATTAGGTCTACTGTCACTTCAAGAAGTATTTCACCTCAATTTTTCACTGCAGCTGCATGCAACTGTGACAGACAAAAGTGCATCAGCAAGATATTCACAAAGCACCACCCCTCCAGACTCTCACACACACACACTCTACCCAGCCCCAGGCTAAATTCTTCCAGTGTCAGTTACAACATCAAAATGACAAAACCTGATGGTTTTGTTCAAGAGAACATCTTTTACTGCCTAGGAAGAGGCACAAAGCAGCAGGTGGCATTTGTTTTTTCCCTTGTTGAAAGAAGTCAATCCCCTGTGCTTCAATTACATACGGGATTTTTCCCCGTCAGTTAAGTGCAACCCATTTCTGTGACAGCCTGATACTCCAGCACGGTATGTACCCTGTGGCTGGGAAGGCAAAGCGTTCATCCAGCTCCTTCAAGGCTTCCACTGAGACTGTCTCATAAATCATCTGGCTGGAATAACTCAGGTAGGGCTTAATCCAAAGCCCATTGAAATCAGTGGAAAGCTTCCCACTGACTTCAGCCAGCTCTGGACCAGGACCTCAGGGCTTTATACAACCACTGTCCCAGGCGCAGGGCTCCATCTGCCTCTGAGGAGCAGGATAAAGCCTTGGCTTTGCCGCAGAGCAGTTAGAGATGTAGCAACATCCCATTACCCAAGTGGCTGGTAGGGTCCTATTTTCCCTGACCTCGCACCTGATCAGTACAAACAACATGCAAAACGCTAACGGACGGGCACAGTTAACGCTGCCATACTCTGTCCTGGGTTTCCCAGCCTATGCCTGGAAAGCCTTGTTCCCCCAGGAGGTACAAGAGCTGCCGGGTTCCTGCCAGCCTGAGTACATGCAATAAATCTGACAGCCTGGGAGAAAGCTGGACAAAGCCCCATATGCCTGCTGTTGGCCACATGTCCCCTAGGCAGGTCTGCACTGCTACTCCAAACATGCTGATAGGTCTCCAGAGATCCCAGACAAATACAAATAGTCAAAAAATTCTGGCTGGACAAAATTTCTGGGTTGGCACAGCAAGCCTGTGTGGGGAATCCAGGACGTGTGGGATACCTTGAAATGATAAGAGCTTAAAATGTCAAAAACCCACTAGCTTTCTGAGTCGGTGGCAATCTTTATCTGAGTTGCCACAGCATGAACTACTACTAGCCAAAGCACGTGCCAGCAGTGAACTGTACTGTTGTCTTTAAAAGACAAAGCCAACCTCTCCTCAGGATCAGTCCTAAGCATATCAACCCAGAATGCCAGGGCCACACAGCACAATAAAGCATCATTTCCAACAGCTTTCTAACGGGGGGAAAAAAAAAACCAGAAAGCCTAACATCAGCCCTCAAGGATTGAACTTGTACTAAGCATCTCCAAAGATTAGACGTAAGTGGCTAGACATCAGTGGCTCCAGCATGACAGACACTTGCGAAACTGATGGCACATGTATCCTGACCAGTCTTCACACGGCCTCTGGCCCCTGGGGAAGATGCAATAACATCAAGTCACTCCCTCTCGGGCATGTGGTGCATGAGTCCATACTGCTACAGGGCATCTTCACCCCTCATTCTCTCTTGGGCACAGGCGTTGGGCTGGGAAGACAGGCTTTCCATCTGCCTTTATCCCAGGAAATAGCAAAATGCGTCACTGCAGCTGGCTGAGTTACAAACGCTGCTGTTTGATATGGCTGCTTGCACTTCTAGGTTTACTGTTCAACTCAAAGAAGCCTAAACAGTGTCTGGGAGACCTAGCAAACATGTTACAGCCTACACATAATCATCCGTCTGCCCATCTCCCAGTGGAAACGTTTACAGCCAGCAGTGGTTTCCCCATAGCAAGGCAACAGCCTACTGATGAGAGGGTGCAGGGAAATGCCCTGTGCCCAAGCAGCAGGTACCAGTGCTCAGAGCTGATGGAGCATTTTCAGCCTCCGTGCCGCTCTTTAGGACCGCACGATTCACTTGATAAAACACCTGAAAGCATTCAGACAGAGTGAGGTCTGGCAAGCAGATTGCTGTGGCTTAAGATGTGTACACAAACATGTTGTAGTCGTACTTTTAAAGGTGAAGATGATCCCCAAATCCCTAAAAATTCCCTGAATTCACCAAAACCAATCCAGCATGACATATTTGTTTGTTAATAACTGCCCAAGTGCTGCTGCCCTTAGGCTCGACGTGAGCAGTGCAATGCAACGGGGGCGGATGCTCAGCTCCTCCATGGTGTTGCTCCTGCTGGGGCAGGTTTCGGGAGGTCCCAGCTCCCAGAGTCACATCTGAACTTGAGAATCAGGCTCTGTTATTGTTAAGGCAAACCAAAAATAAAAAGGCCAGACTAAATTATTTTTAAGATCTCAAGATTTTTAAAGCAGTCTTGTGACTTTTAAGGGGTCTGACTCATGATACTTGGATGCTTGAAGTTGGCAGCAGCGGAGGGAGTGCAGCAAGATTTAGCGTACAGCGATTTATTGCTAAAAGCCTTCAAATGTGTGGAAAAGGGCACGGAGCGCTTCTGCAGCTATTCGGCAGAAAATAGGGACACGGTCCCGAGTCCTTCTCCTCTGGCCAGGTTGCCACCAAGCTCACCTCCTCCACAAAACTTACCACACAAAATCCCAGCAAAGCCGCCCCAGACGTGGCAAAAACACTTCCCAAAAGCAGGCGTGGGTGGGTGGGGAGGAGGCTGTTTCCCTGTGTCAGTGGCCGTCACTCTCTGGCCCAACCGCTTGGCTTCCCCATCATAGAGGGGCAGGGGCAGGTATCACCATCGGACTGCAGGGCTTCCCAGGGAGGGCTCCTTTGAGGGACACCGGTGAGCTGCTCGCTGCAGCTTTTGCCTCCCCAGCGCTCCGGTTTCCCCGTGCGTGACCAGGGACCGGCGTTGGGCCCATGCGTAAAATTGCAGGCCGCACAGTGACTTCAGATACACCTGAAGTCCTGGATTTCAGCTTCCATGGCAGCGAGGGCAGAGCCCCTTATCCCCAACCCACTGTGGCTGTCACTGCCTCCGCAAGACGGCCACGCCACATCGCTGATGCTCAGACCACCCCACAGCCTCTGCGCACCCTTGTGTGTTGAGCTTGGATGCCTTCACAGGGAAGTTCAAGTGACATTTTTCCGTAGTAGAAAACACCTCCTGAACTACACCCCCCAGCATCCTCCACAGGCCACCCAGGGCCTCTACTAGCAACAAACCCTAAAGTCTCGGCCTTTACTTAAGAAGATTTTCTTTTTCTTAAAGCAGAAATACACTAGAAGTATGTAAATACCATGTGCTATACCATACACTAGCACGGGCTCTGCAATCCCTCCCACGCTGCCCAACAAAAACATATTGGTCCAGGCCTGGGGGGAAACCTTCTGGAACGAGAAGGCAGTTTAGTGCCATGGCACATTTGCTCCTCTGCCTTTTGGGGAGGTCCCCAACCAGGTGACAGCTGCATTTTGCAAAGGGAGGCTGCCGCCTCATTTCCCTTTGGCCACCACATGAGCTAGTTTATCTGCAGACAACACTGCTGCTTTCCAAAGCTCACGGGTTCAGCTTATAGCCTGATGAGAGCTCACATGCCCAGTTCTGCATGGCAACGCTTCCTTTGGAAAGAAAGGCGGCTATTGCATCTCGTCTACCTGGGATTTCCCCCCCCCCAGGTATCATCAACTTCCATCAGAGAGCCCTGCTTATGTAGCAGGGCCTTATTAGAAAAGTTCAAAGCAGGCATACAAAATATATTTGGTATTGCATTCTGCTGACTTCCATTTAAAACTGCTCTGAAAATGTATTTTCTCCTACGGCATTAAGAACCTGAAACACCATGGTTTTGTCAGCGCATGGGAAAGACCAGAAAAGAAAATGAAGTCCATATTCAAAATTAAATACAAAAATGAGAATAAAATGTGCTTAAACTTCAGTTCCATTTTTATTAACTAAATCAGTGATTTTAAAAATCTAAATCAGATCTTTATATCAGAGAAGGCATTACAAAAATAAATAGAGCCTGTCTTTCTTCCTGCTTACTCCAGTGTAAATCATGGGAAAGTCTATTAAAGCAAATGGAACTGTACAGGTGTAAAATGGGGTTAGTTAATGAAATGCCACTCCCAGTATTTTCATGCTGCTTCTTTCATAAATTGACATCATCATACCCACGTCAAGTTCTGTTCTCATCTGCATCAAAGTAAATCTGTAATAACTGATAGCAAATGCTGCCCTTTTTGCCCACATAAAGTGGCTGTAAATGAATAAAAAGTGACAGGCAGTACAAATACAACAGCAATTCCACAGTAATGGCAGACAATTCACAGATATGCTATACTACATATAGCAAGTGTATCTCAGCTTTCAATTGCTATCTTATAATTTTAGCTCTATGTCTGAAAAGACAAACAAAATCCCTTCTGCACAGCACTCACTCACATGGCATCTGAGCATGAGTTTTCCTGTCAGTAATTTCACATGGCCATAGTCCACCTTCACTGTTTACATTTATCCATATAACAAAATAACTAGAAGCCAGGACATTTACAGCAGCCTAAGGGAATTACTAGACACCCCTGACTTCCAGCTTCTCCTACTGTATTAACTAAAGCTATTTTACGGCACATACCGTTAGGTAGGACTCTTTGGTTAGCTACAGCAAACTTTGGAATTTAAGATAGAAATCCTCAAAGCCACTGCTAATCAAAGGCAAGCCACCGCCACCATTTTCCATACATAATACCTCACCTCTCTGCTTCAAGGCGCATTTCCTCACGCTTTTGCCTCCTGAGTTCTCTGCGGCGTTCAAAGTCATCCATGGTGGGTGTTCAAGTGTTCAGAGCTCTGGAAAGATCCAAATCTAAAAGGGAGATGACCACTTAGATGAGAGAGAAAACACAATGGGATGCGTTTAACCAACTGAGTCCATTTAGTTTTGTTTTGCTTTCTTAACTTCGCTGTAACTATTTTCTTTTTCCATCAAAAAAATTTAACGTCCTCAGTATTGTTGAGATAAACAAGATTAATGAAATGCCTTGTAGGATAAACATAGCCCATGCCTGCATTTAGTTTCCTAGCTAAAATTAAATCAACATGCTGTAAGTAAGGACTGTATACATCTGCTAGCCGCAGACTAGCTATTTGTAACGTCACAGGTCTT